ATGATATTGTAGTGGCTTCGGAATTATTTCACTGATTTTTAAATACCCTTCCGGTTCCAAGTCCCACCTCAATCAACTCTTAAGCAGTTTCGACATAAAAGCCACTTTACTGCCAGCAATTCGCGAAATTGATTAATTATTGTGCAGTCAATTTGATTAATTACTTAGCCGGTGTCAAGGCGCTTTGTGTTGGTCTGTTTCGGGTGTCAGAGATTTTGTTTAAGTACGGTTTGTATATTTTTGTATATTTATGAATGCGACTGTGTTTGGCTTATAGCTTTTTTGTTTAATATTATAATCGTCTAATTGGCAATTCTGTTTAGTACGTACATGCTTATGTATGTATGTGTACATACTCGTACATACGTATAAGCAGACTTGTGTGTGCAGGAATGAGAAATATGAATTTGAAATTTCAATCAAAATTAATTAGTCGCACAAATGGGAACGGTAAATCTACTGCAATATAATAAATTTGGAAGATTTTTCAATAAGTATTGAATACATATAGATACGAGTATAGATATAATATAATATTAACCTTTCGATATACACGTATGTATATGGATTCTCTGGCGTTGAAGTTTCTGCTTATCACTATAGTTCGATCTATAATATTTTTATTAATTTATTACTTTTCATTTCATTTTGACTTCTGCATTTGTTTTTCCTTTTTCTATTTCCAAAAGTAATTAAGGCAAGAATATAATGAGTTTTGGTATTTGGCGTCAGCGTGGGTTTTGGCACTTCAGCCTGCGTACTGATGTGGGCTTGTGCGCTTGTATGTATACAAGTATGTATGCACGTATAGCTCTTCTCGATTTGCTACAAATAATTTCACTTTGCAATCTCCGTATTGTTAAATTGAAATCGAAATTAGAATTGGGATTGAAAGTGAAAACTTGTTTGGGAGTCAATTGGACTATTGAACGGGATGTTATGAGGCATCATTTATCTTCGCATGTGAACCTGAGAGAAGTTCATATTTTTTAATGCCAATGAGCTAAGCTCTATTTTGTATATAATATGTATGTATATGCATGTCTTTGTATTTCCGTTTCAAATTAATTCCAACTCACTTAGCAAAATTTTCAAACATTTTTGCATTTTATCTTTATACATTTGCAAATGCTGTGTCTAAAGGCTCACGTAGGAACTACAATAGTTTAATATCGGGATAACTTTACTACATTAATAAGGTTACTTAGTTTTCATATGTAAAACTATGGTTTACATCTAAGCGACGACATCAAAGAAGCTTCCAACTTTGTAACCGAATTCGTCTTGCAATTTGTGGGTTTGCAACTTAATGGTTTTCCTACAAATGGAGGGACTTATAGCTCATTCCAAGCCGCCTTCGCGCAACAGTTGCATTTTTATGAGACGGATTTTCGAACAAAAACCTCATATTTGAAAAAATGTTTGAGAGTTATGTGCTAAAGTCCTCCGATTTCTATGATTTTCATTGACAAATTTCATTATTTTTAACGCAGTTTTGATCCAAACCTCCTATATGGGAGCCTTATATTATAATCGTCCGATTATGAGATATTTCGGTACTAAAAATTTGAAATCCGAAAAATCAGTATCGAGCAGTGGGGACAGCTCGAAAATCGCTCGATACTCATTCGTTGCTCAACTGTTCAGATGATAGTTTGAAATTTTTGAAATCTCAATTTTGCTTGTCGAAATTTTTTTGTATTTCAATAAGTTTTATATTTTGAAATTAAAATGAAAGCATATTAACACACGGTAGTAGCAAAGTATCAAAAACAAAAAGTCTATGTATTTTGTTTGCATAATCGTAGTTTCGAAACGTCAAAATCGAAATTCGTTCAAATTATTTTGTTGGTGTAATAAGAGGTTCGTAGTGTCAAAACTATTTCTCATGTTTTTTGTTTGTGTAATTTGTTGTAATGGAAGGAAGAACAAGCAATCGTTTAAAAATTTTTGAAATGACAGCTTCTCGAACACACCTGAGACGCAAGGCAAACTTTCAAAAAACTTTCTATCTAACTTCAAGCCCCGTTCTTAATCTATCCATTCGATTTCTTTTATCTAAAAACTGTTTCATGTTATATAGTTTTTTGTATGTCTTGAAGCTAAGATTAGCATTAATAATTAAATATTTATAATTTTTAAACGCAATTGAAGGGAAAAAAGTAGCAAAAAAGTTTACTTTTTAATTGCAATGAGCATTCAGCAATACATTTATTGTTAAAATTGTTTCAATTGAGGTTCAGGATGTAGAAAATTTCATGATCTTTATGTTTTGCGCGCAGAGGCCGACGGAAGGCGCCATTTTGAAGCCGTCATTGTTAATTTCAACTAATTTTGCCGTTTTAAAATCTCAAATAATAAAAAAATTTAATGGTCAAAACCAGAAGTTGGCAAGCGTTTCCATTCTCCCCCAAAAAAAGTACAAACTTTGCCTGATCTTTGCCCGATATCAGGGAAGGGTCCACTTAATTTTCATCAAAATAATCAAACATTGATATTTGATATTTTTTTGTATAAAAAAGTTACAATTACCTTTATTTCAATAAATGCTTTAAGATTTAGATAAAAAAGTTCTTTACCCAGATTATTTAATTGGTAACACATTTAGTAACTTCATGCAACGTAGCAAAAGAACTAAAAAAAATAGAATGCAAATAAAAAAATGCTTTGCTATTGCTATCTTCTTACTGGTAAAAGGGTTGTAGAAAATGCCAGGACATGCAAACAATTATTAAAATGGTCAGTAACACTTTATCTCGACACCAAATTAAGTCAACACATTAAGCTAACGAGATACTCCAAAGCAACGAATAAAAGCGATGGGGCAAGGGAAAAGTCAAACTGCACAAAAAAGAATACTAATATGTACATATATGTACATATGTAAATGTAATATGTATATACATATATTTGCACAACGAAGGAGTAGAACAAAATAACAAAAGATGTGCAGCAGAACATTTTAACAAAGATGGCGCCAGTTACACAAAATACCTTCCTCCGTAAAATTCGCCAGAAAACAAATTCACTGTAACACAAAATACTAAAAGCACAGACAGGAAAGGAAAAGAAAATCAACAACACAAACTAAAAGCTACGCGCTTACACAAGGACATACATATTGGAATAGGTTATGTATCCAATGTTAAAAGCTGTACTAGGCTTTAGAAGTTCTAGTCAAATACTAGTATATTAAAGATGAAATTATACCAGTTCGCTATCACTTATAGTTATAACAAAAAATTCCCCCCACCGCTGCTGATATGTTGTCTTCATTTCAGATACACGAAATGTGAATCTTGTTTTCTAATATGTCAAGGAAGCGGTAGCCGAGTAATTAGTATTGCGTACTGACATCCGGAAGGCTCGGGTTCAAATCGCGGTGTCACCAACATCAAAAAGTCGCAACATCTTCATGCGGTCGCCCCTCGGCAGACAATGTCCACCCCTCCGAGCGTATTTCGGTCATGAAATAAAGGCTCCTCGTAAAAACCCATCAGTCGTTCGGGGGCAGCTTAATATAAAATGTAGATCCCTCCATTTGTTGGAAAAATATCAAGACGCAAAACCACAAATTGGAGGAGGAACTCGGCCGAAAATCGTTTCAGCGGTTCGGGATAATTGCCATCGTACGCGAGATCCCAGGTTCATATTCCGAAGTATAAATTCAACAGGTTCACGGGTTATAAACCTAGCCAGCCCAACCTCTAATCGCGATCGTCCTAAGCCGGGACTGTCAATCCCATCTCATATAGCTGATGCAGAGCTGCACAATTGGCACTTTAAACGGCTTCGAAAACAAGAGAACATGATGGGAGATGAACTAGTTGGTGTAAAAATACAAACTAATTGCATCTAATTATCATTTGGCATCTTTCCCAGCACGGATTTTTAGTAAAGTTGTAATTCGTTTACAAAATGCATACACATATATCGTACCTACATATGTGCATAACGCAACAGCTCATACTGAATACTAACTTCTTAACACTTTGAAGCGATTTCGGGTTGAATATTCGATTCAGAGTACTTAATGAATGAAGTGCCAAGAATGAACGCTTAAAAAGTAGTGAAATAACAACAACGTCAGATAACTGGTGTACAAGGAGCGAATGCGATGTGAAGCAACTGTGTAGCGTTTATACCATAAACTGCGTAAAGTGTTCAAGTGCAAGGATATTTGCTAAAAACCTTGTCTACTAGCTGGACGTCTACAGAAGTTTGTGTATTCACATACATACGAGTACATACTTATGTGTAAGTCAATTCGTCGCTCAGGGTAAACATCTCTGGCGAAATGTTGGAGCTAAGCTGCAATGGAAAGTGTGTCATTTGTCTCGTATGTCGTATATCACATTCAGCTTTGGCTCCGAGCAAAGAGAAAAAGAATTGACGAGCCAGCAATATACACATCCTTTTGTTGTGTTAGCGAATGTCTGACAGGTAATCAAGTTCGAAAGCATTAAATAAATTGCCCATTTAGTAGCTATTGCCATTGCCATTTCCTCTATCGTTTGTTCTTTAAATTTGGGGTAATTGTATTAATTTCCTATCTAAATGTGATCATCAATTTTTCATTCTATTAATTCTTTTTTTTTTGTTATGGTGTTTGATTTATTTTTTTACTCTTTTAATTTTTTTCATATCAAATATTTTGCATTTTATTTTATTTTCATTTTATTTTTATTTTGTTTCATTTTAATTTATAATAATTTACTTTATGTTATTTTATATTATTTTACTTAATTTTAGAATTATTTCATTTTTAATTATTTAATTTTAATTTGTTTAATTTAAGTTTGTTTTATTTTAATTTATTTTATTTTATTTTATTTTATTTTATTTTATTTTATTTTATTTTATTTTATTTTATTTTATTTTATTTTATTTTATTTTATTTTATTTTATTTTTTTTTATTTTTTTATTTTTTTTTATTTTATTTTATCTTATTTTATTTTAATTTAGTTTATTTTAGTTAGTTTTATTTTATTTCGTTTAATTATTTTATATACTAAATCGCAAGTCGAACGCAGAAAGAAGACAACTAATCTGCAACCGAAACCCAAAACGACAACGTGAATTGTCAAAATACAACAACAATCAATTGCAAGAAGAACAAACAATATTTAGACCAACAAGCATTCAATGCCTCTTAGGGGTGTCAAAAAGTACATCAACTATAGTAGTGACGTCAGGATAACGGCGATTTTGGCGCAAGTCCGACACAAAAGGCTGTCGTAAGTAACCATTTGCAACGTCCCTTCGTTCAGTGCAACATATGGCAATATGAACCAACGAACGAACATGAACTCTCACATATTAACGATTTTTTGTTACTGTTTTGTTGTTGGTGCTATATACATTTATAGAGTTTTTCTCTTGTACGCTGCAAACCGTGAAAGTCACAAATTATACGATCGCATTCCATGATAGCGGCAATTTGATGAGGACGAGACAAGGGGGGAGATTTCTAGAGCCCCGCAGCTTAGGACAGACTAACGAGGAACGCACTTATTATATGTTCATATCAATGTATGTGTACAGCGAAGACAACCCTTAAGTTACTTACCTGGCGTTGCGGCAACTTGTACTGATCCTGCCGCTACTGATATGTTAATAGTGATGATCCTTAAATTAACTGTTTTACATTCCAACCGTCGGCTTTTTTACTTAACCTTTTTTGTTTGCATACCTTCCCCGCGTTGTTTTTACACACTGCGGCTGGCACAACTATTTGAAAATCTTCCCTCACTGCGACCATATGGTCAACACCATCTCCATTAGGGACGTCTACCGCGCACTCTCGTGTCACTCGCGTGCCAGTTGGTCAAAATTTCGTGTGCAGACCGTCGGCGGGGATTCCACTAGCCAACTGGTGGCTGAAACGACGTCGATGAATGGTAGAACAGTTGGTCTTTTCTCCATTCACGGCCTGAGCAGCGCTTCAGTATCGAGTTTGGTTGAAGCTAACGCGCAGTTCGTGTTTAAACGCAGTGCAGTGAAGATCTGTTGAAGGAATATGAACTTAAACGCTCAGCCTTTGCAGCTACAACAAAAAATCTTAGAACAACAGTATCAACAACAAAATTATTACTCGGTATTTTCAACACATTCAAGTGATTTATCTTATGCATCCTCAGAAGAGGACGGCTCGCAACGCTATGCAAGAAGCCCAATCTATACGCTCTCAATCGTTAGCACGACAGATCAAAATGTGGAGGCTGGTAAAGAGAATTCCGAAATGTTGAACCATTGGCCCTTAACTTTAGGTTACACACCGAATCATTCATTACAATCGATATCTGAAACAGAGTCGTTCTATCATGGTTACAATCCTACGTCACAACAATACAATCTTAACATCAGTTCCTGTGTCGATACGGAATCTCTAAGCACAACAACCAGCGAGTCTGGTTCACCTAACGCAACAAAATCGACAAAATTCAACAAACGCTCCGTGGATCGCAAAGACGTAATTACGAAGAAATCGGATGCGGTTCTGAAACCGCCAAGCCCCAGTGTCCTTAAACGCCGTCGCCAAGCGGCCAATGCACGTGAACGTAAACGTATGAACGGTTTAAATGAGGCTTTCGATCGGCTCCGCGAGGTAGTGCCTGCACCGACCATCGATCAAAAGCTCTCCAAATACGAAACGTTGCAAATGGCACAGACATACATAGCGGCACTCTGTGAAATGCTGGAAAGTGGTCTAAATGCAGCCAACTATATGATGCAGCGAGACGAACATCACACCTTTCATGAAGATATACCAGTGACGGAGATGAATTGAGAAGAGAAGCACTTAGAGTGTGCTGTCCAGTTCTGAAACAACCAAAGGAATAAGTGTGCGGTTTGGAGTTGCCGTCCGCGCTGATTAGTGTTAAGTGAATTTGATATTTATTATGAATAACCCATTTGAATATATTCCTAAGTGCATTTAAAAATAGTATTGTAGAAAATAAATATGTGTGATTTAATGTAGCTATAAACAGTGCAGTTTTCCATGGATACTTGAATTACTATCATAAATCAAAGACTAAGTGTATTGTGCTTTTTGATTTTTGCTTTTTTTTTTGTTTATACCTTCCATGAACAAGCAATGGTATATAAACTTTGGTTCGATATATGTTAGTATGAAAAGAAGAAGAAAATGAAATTTCCACCTGAATGATCAGAATGAAGAGTTGAGTTGATTTAGCCATGTCCATGTACACGTCTGTTTGTATGCAAACTAATCCCTAAGTTTGCTATTACATATTTCAAATAAACTTTCGCATATACGAGGGCGTTAACAAAAGTTCGGTAAGCTGACCAGAAAAAAAATTATTCGTAGTCTTCGTTCTTCTTATCTTCTCTACATAATCGTTATTGATTTCAATGCATTTCTTAAGCCTGAAAACAGTCTTCAAAATCTTGCTCTTAAGCTTATCAAATTCATCATTAACCGCATTAATTGTCACCTCGTTCTTACTAAAGACCTTTCCTTAGACAATATATTGAAATTTTTCAATCCATGGTGCCATATCTGGGCAATATGACGCTGCACATATTGCATCCATCACAGAGATCACCGTAAAATTACTCATTATATTAGCACAGTGGGTTGACGCGTTATCATGATGTAGAAAGTACCGCCACAAATCCTCTTTCTTCTTGTTTTCCAACAAATTTTTTCAAATTTTGTTTAAACACTCTTCGGTGTCCCATCTCACAGTTACCATCTGATCCTTTTCCAGTGGAATAACAGCTAATATTTTAGATCCGGTGAAGTAAACTGACATCATTACTTTCGTTGCTGATTTTTTTTTTTTTGCTTATATTTTACGGATGGGTTTGCTTCTGTTTGGCTCCATGCCGTAGACCGCTTTTTGGTTTCCGGAACGTACTAATGGAACCAAGATTTGTCACCAGTAACGACTTTACTAAAGGCACTAGACTGACCATTTTCGAATTTGTTTAGGAAAAAATTAGCAAAGTACACTGGAACCTCTTTTTGGGTCTCATTTGAATTCGTGGTACGCATCGAGCATATTTCTTCGTATATCCGGGAACCGCATTCTAGCCCAATTTATTGGCAATCATTTATTGTGTGAATCTTGCGTCTTCGACAATTTTGGACTTTACCAGAGCGACTCTGACGTATCCAGTGGAAGATTTTGGTCGACCATCTCGGGGCTCGTGCTTTACGGCTTTGCGGTCAGACGTTGCAATCGTTCCATATGCAATTTAGCAATCCCTGAATGCTTGCATTGGCTGTAAATTACGCTGAAACCCGAAGAGAAGCACATGGTGAATTTCTGTCTGACCTATCCTCCTCTATCTTGCGTTTTCTCGTCTCTATTTGAAACGATAGTTCTAATTACTAATCAAGTAATTTTCCAGGATTTGGTGTATTTTGTTTTAACGAAAACAAATTGAAAGTCAGCAATTGAGCGAACTTTTGTTAATCCCTTCGTATGTACATATGTATGTTAGTATCTGATCGTTTGAAAATCAAAATTATAATATTTCAAAGTAAAAAGAAATATTTAAAGTAAAAAATGAAAGTAACTTAAAACGAGTTAGATTCTTAGATATTTATATACATATGTATGTAAAGGGTGATTATTTAGCAATCATCTCTTTGGCAACACTTGTTTAAACAGCCGACGCACGATTCGTGTTTTGTATAACTGTGTGTCAAAATTTTCAGTTTGGTCTATAATTTAAGCATGCCCTGCTTCCACCGACGGCAACTGCTTCCAAAACTCTCTCTGGACCACATGACCTAGCCAACGCAGCGGCGCAGTTTCTCGATTCGCTGAACTATGTCAATGTCGACTGCGGTATTCGCCGCAGCCAAAGCACAAATGACCATACAACCTTTTCATCGAAAGCTCCTAATGCTGACTTGCCATACATCACAACGGTAGGATGAGCGACTTGTACAGTTTGGTCTTTGTTCGTCGTCCTCTTACTCTTCTATTGCCATTCAGTCAAAAATAACATCTGATGGATTATTTGTGTGATGACAGGATATATTTCGTCTTGCCCTCGTTGACTAACAGACCCATTTGCTTCGCGTCCTTATACAGCCTGGAGAAAATAGAACTCACAGTTTGTAATTACGTGAAAAAGCAAAACCGACTTAGCTTCCATGACAGCCCATAATTTTCTACCTTCGCCAGCTATTCAGGTAGGACCAAACAGTCAAGATCGCCTGTTCTGAACTTACTCACTATTTTGATAACAGAGCGCATTTAAGTACCAACTATTACCCTATTTCCCTGACTTCGATCCCTTCCAAACTGATTGTATATAAAACCAATAAACCAGAAGTAACCATGCATAAGATTTATGGTCCTTTGCACGTTGGCAATGGCGAATACCGCAGATGATGGAACGATGAGCTGTACGAATTATACGGCGAGATTGATATAGGTCGGCGAATCAAGAAGCAGCAGCTACGCTGACTAGATCATATGGTTCAGATGGATAAGAATATTTCAACTTTGAAAGTTGCATGTCGTGTTGCAGTACCCGCCGGTGGAAATAGAGGAAGAGGAAGACCTCCACTCCGTTGGAAAGACCAGCTAGAGCAGGACCTGGCTGTACTTAGTATTTCCAATTGGCGCCAAAGAGCAAAAAGAAAAAAACAAAAGGCGTACTGGTGTAAACTGGCTATGATCGCGTAAGCGGTTTCTACGCCAGTAAAATAAGTAAGTAACCAATAAAATACAGAAAATTATGAGCAAAGTCTGTTTCCTAAGCTCGCATGGCTAACTTTTCCAAATTCAACAAATTCGTTGAGCGCTAATTTTCTACCAAAGCTCATGCCCGTTACGAAGGCTCCTGCTTCCCCGCAATTGCCATCGATCCAGTCTGTTTTTTTAACCCTCTACTCGACAAAGAAATTAAATTAGGCAATCAATCAGGCAATCAATAAACAAATAATAAAGAAAATAACAAAAACAAATAAAATGCAACACACTGAGTATGACGACGGAGGGGGTCAAACAAGAAGCAATCAATTAACCATCCAAAACAAATTTAACAATATATCCAATTCGAATTACCCCAAAAGACCCTAACCAATTTTTAATGAGTAGAGACGGGCTTAGAACAGTCCGAGTACTTCAGAAAATTAACCAATGAACCGTAACGACTTCGCTGCAAACACACATACGTGTATGTACACATGTCATCCTTAAATACCAGACTGATGGCTGCAAAGTTGTTTCGAAATTTAATTTAAGTTTTTTATTTATTTATTTTATTAATTTATTAAATTTAATTTATTTTATTCAAGAAAGGGGAAAAATATACATATTGACCAGCACATATGAATTTGTATGTTAAAAACCGTTACTTCGGTCTGTACTTTATATTTAATATCGAAAGACAGTAAAATCAAACTAAAAATTTCTCACAACGCTTTATCCCTACAATATTGAATATTACACACATACGTGTATGTATGTATGTAGTCAAATTTTTTACGGCGACACGTATGCTATTTAACTTTTTATATTATATTAACATTAAAAATAATTTACCACTTTTCTACCCTCGCTAAGGCAGTGGCGTGTAACGGCGGCAGGTAAATCGATATGAAGAGCGTGCCACCCTCGTGCCACTCATGAATTATTGCCACCACAAAGTGCTCTGCAGTACAGTCAGGATAACGAATTTTATAAGTATGTAACAGTTTGTAGAAGTTAAACTATAGAGAATTCCTCTACATTCGCCATCAACAACACGGAGTCAATATGCACATAAGTATGTATGCATGATAATTTACTTTAGGTTAACTAAGTACTTTTCGCTCTACACTCTACTTCTTCCTGAAGCATATTTTTACATTGTGGCTGTTGAACTTTTGAATTAACGTCTACAGTGCGGCAGCTTGCTGGCTGCTTACAGCTCAGGAGCCAACAAATGTACGTATATATATATTATCTTGCTCCTTGGTTAAAAAATAAATAATTTCTTTCCTTTCTTGAGTTGAGTATGCTGAAGATACGCTTTTTTAATATTTCCCTACTACTGATTTAAGTGCGGAGAGTAAAATGAAAAATCAAGTAGTTTCCTGTCCTAATTTCGTGTGACGGCAGCAAGCTTTCCGCTGTCAAAAAAAAAAAACGTGTAAGTTTAGGGCTTAAAATCTGCATTTAGCATTCACACTTTGCAGATTTCCTCATCTTCCCCCCCCCTGCATGCACACACAGTTAAGCTCACAAACTACATTGCATCTTCAAGCATTCCCTTTAGTTTTATTTAATGTGTTTTTTGGTGTACAACAATTTCTTGTGCTTTTATGAGATCACTTTCTACTCGAAAGTTAATTTCGCTACCTCGACCTTCCTCAAAGCCTAATCTGGTTTGTATGTATGATTTGAATATCTTTTTGTTATACAACAAAGTAAAAGTGACAGCTGTTTCGGGGATCACCACATCTCCTCATCAGACTTCTTCCTTGGAACTGTTTTCTTCCATCACTTTTGCATGAACGTATTTTTAATATCTAAAAAATAAGCGCCTGAGTAAGTATGTTTAATAAGCAGGACTACTCTATACGCGATTAAAGAGAAAGAAGATTTGCGTTTGTACTGTGACTAAGGGCTATGTCGCATCCAATTATTCTACATCGGAGTTGCGCTCCACATATATCCTTCATGATTTTGGATGAGTGCATAAGTTCGTGCCCGATTCCGCTGGATGCCGTTCGAATCGTTTGGGAGTGGCGCTCGTGAAAAAAATATATACATATTATATATCGTTGCAAAGGCGACAGTCCGAACTGTAAATTAAGCATAAAATAACTTCATTTTGATTTGAGTTGCTTAGTGAAAAGACGCATGGAAGATGGACAACGAAAAAGATC